ATTAAGAAAATGACCCACAGACTTGCGTACAAGGCCAGCCTGATAGAGACATTTTCCCAATGGAAGTTCTCTCTTCCCAGATGACTCTAGTTTGTGTCAAATTAACAGAAAACCTAACCAGTATACACACTACTCCAGATTCTAAAACTTTGGAGCACAGCCATAACACAATGGATAGAAAATTCCATACCTGAACTCATGCCACAGACTACAGACAAAATACAGGCATAATGAAAACACCAACATTACCTTTATTCTCTATGTATAAGGTGTATCTGAAACATATGAATTTTGTATATATACTAGGGTTCAATGCTCAAGACATCTCATTGTGCATATACAAATATTCCAAAAAATACAAAATCCAAAAAATTGAAAAGTTGGAATATTTCTGGTCCAAGCATTTCAGATAAGGAATATGCAACCATTACACTGTATTATCATTCTTTCTTTGTTATTCATTTTTCAAAAAGAAGTGAAATTCTTGTACAAAATACAAACAAATATCATATAAGAAAACAAGCCAGCCATGAAAATTCAAATATATTATTCCAGTTATATTTAGTGTCTAGAACAGGCAAATACATAGACAGAAGAAACAGACTACATTGGAAGCAGAGATAATAATGGGAATTACCTCTTAAGAGACAGAGTTTCGGTTTTGCGTGATTAATTTTTTAAAAATTTACCTAGTTGGTGGGTATGTAATCAATGCTACTGAATTGTACACATAGAAGTAACTTTATGTTGCTTATATTTTGATGCAATAAAACATGTTTTTAAATGCATTCTGAGCAAATACTGCAGCTTAATTGCAGTCATTCACACTACCCCTTGTTTAAGGCACATTTTAATATAAGGATTTTGGTTTTACTACTGATATGTTCTATCCATACCACATCTGTTTCTAAATCAGTGATCAGAAATAGAATAAATGTTAGCCACACTGGGTCAGAGATTTCATCCGCAGCAGGAAACCACTAGACTTCTGAGAGTCATAAGAGGAAAGTGGTTGGTGGATTGTAATCCCTCTGAAGGGTCATTCTTCTGGGAAGGCTAATGTCACATGCCCCTAACATACCCAATTCCTTTAGACACTAGAGATGTAGTTAGAAGACAGACCCTGAGGCTAGAAACATCCTAAGCAGCATCCCAAAGGTCCCTCCCCCCCTTCACTTCTGCCCTCAATCACCCTGTGCCCACCTGGGGGCAGAAAGTCAATGGCAGCCACAGGCAGGTCTTCACCTGGGCTAAGTCCTCTGGTCTCCTTCCCGGATACCTTCTTTCTCATTGGAAACAAGTTAGCACAGTGTGGGAATCCAGAAGCCTCTGGGACTTAAACGTATTTCTACACGATCGTTTTCACCACTGAAAACAGGGAATGATTTTTCTCTCTGGATAATCCAGTGGGATGTTAAGTACATAGCTGAAGGCAAAATCCAATCCCTAGGGGCCCAGACATCACCAGCATTAGAAACACTTAGGAAAATCACGTGTTCCCAACATTTCCCCCTTATTATTCATCATGAGGATTTGAGACTTTCCAGTGGAAGGCACAAAATAGCTTTTCTATTAAATGTTCACATTAGTCCGATATATTCAACATTAGCATAATAATTATGCCATTTTCTCCCTTACAGGCAGCAGGTACTTCCATACGGCATTACATTTGTCTTCCCAGATTTTCTCTTTGGAAGTGTGAAGGTAACTGTTATTACTCTAATTTTTCAAATATATACCCTTATACTAGAGAGGGTAAGTATTACAATCACCTAGAAAGTACTCCACTCTTGACTCCTACACACTCCAAGAACCCCTTCCAGAATATTTTTCTCTCTAATTGGAATCTACTGCAGGGTCCTATACACCGGGAAAGGACTAGGATGATCGCTAAATATTAAATATGATCGGCTTCTTAAACTGCTAACATCCTTTTCTTTTGAAAGCCTCAGATTACAATTAACTTGAGACCAAGAATTTTCTGCCACAGGTGAAAATGTGACGATCCTGATAGTGTATATACACTAAGTGGCAAATTAGTTGGGATCCATGTGAGAAATTCAATTACCATTCTTTTTAAGTTGGCACATCTGAAAGACTCCGAACTCCTTCATAACGCCCCACCCCATCTCTTTTTTATAAACATTCAATAAAATTTTAAATACCAGTACAGTTTGAAAGACAGACCTGATAAGTAAACTACTTAGGGGCTGAGCTGGCTAGGTTACTAGCAGACAGATGGCTGGAGGAGGGGATGAGAGGTAGCTATCCAGAGGCTATGATCAGAAACATAGGTGAAGCCGGGCGGTGGTGGCGCACGCCTCTAATCCCAGCACTCGGGAGGCAGAGCCAGGCGGATCTCTGTGAGTTCGAGGCCAGCCTGGGCTACCAAGTGAGTCCCAGGAAAGGTGCAAAGCTACACAGAGAAACCCTGTCTCAAAAAACCAAAAAAAAGAAAAAAAGAAAAAAGAAACATAGGTGAAGTCAGAATGCATTTTTATCTGAGAGCCTATGTTTTAGACCCGTTTGCAGGGAGGTTGAAAATGTCTCCAGATTCCACTGGCACATAATGATAAAATCCAGAAGATGTGAGTCTCTGATCTCCTCTCTCCTTATCATGCAGATAAAAAGCCCGATGTCCGGAAGACTTAAGTAGCTCGTCCGCAGCCTGAAGTCTGGCTTACAAGAACCAGGCATTTAGAATTTAGAGCCCTAAGTGTCCTGCAAGCAGATAGAGCCTGCTAAATGGAAGCCCCCTTTCCAGCTGAGCTCAAGGGTGGACTCAGATACAGAAGTCAAAGCCCGAGCTGGGGAGGGCCACATTGTTCCACCTAAGAAAGAATGCCTCCTAGTGTTTTCTCAAAGATAGGAGAGAAGAAAAGCCATCGCCCCAGAGGCCCAATCTGCTGTGAGCCACCATTGGTGATTCATCAGTGAGCCAGAAAATACCAGGCAGGGCGAGTTAGAGGGAACTGTGAAAGGAATGTGGTTTTAGGTCCAGATTAACTCCCACAGCAGTTGGCAGGTGCATAGGAAGGAGACCGGGACCCATGGACCACAAGGAAGCACATCTCAGGAATGGGCAGGGAACAGTATTGAGTTTCTGTGGTTCACAGAGCAGCAGGTTCAAGAATGTATTGAAGCTTTTTTTTTTTTTTTGTAACAGGAAGACTTTGAATTGTTTGTCAAGTTACATTAGTTTGTGACATAACTGAAGCTAAACAAAGGTCTTTTGATTCCTGGTCCAGTGTTCTGTCACATTATAAAGGTGCTTTTTTTGGGCGGTGGTTCTTTTCAACACACACAAGACTTCCTGATGACCAGGGCTCACCACCTTGAATGACAGCTCAGATCCCAGACAGCACAGCCAGGAGCTGCCAAACAAGGGAGTAAATATCAGACTCTAAAGGCTGTCTTCTTCAGGACAGATTCATCCCTCACCCTCTCGGCCAGTTTTACCCAAGTAATTACTTTTCCCACAGTCAATAAATTAGAGGCAGGTTAGACTTGCCTCTGAATTAGAAACCAAGGATGTGTTTCAGCCCTAGAAACACGAAGAAGCCAGTCTTATTTAAGTCTAACATCACAGAACATCCTCCTGACCATTCCAGGACTCAGATTCTTCACCAAGCCTCTTTGATCCTAACAAAGACATCTATCTGCTTGTGTGGGGGGCTCATGATGCAGAGAACTAGCTGCATCCTACTGCTCCGTTCAGAGGAGGACAGCATGGGATTTCACCGCTCTGCCTGGCATGGTCTTGGAAATGTTAAGGATGTTTCTTTATTCAGTTTGTGTTCCCTAAGTGAATCCCACAGATCATGAAGCAAATGCTGGGATCTGCAACCTCGTGGTATGTGACGTCCAACCTCCAGGGGAGGGGCACCATCTGCTCTCTCCTCTCTCACTCTGATTGAGCTGGTTCCTAGTACAGTGTGCTGCCCGAGTTAAGAGTGATGCTCTGTGTGCATGGGGCCACACTCACCGTGTCTGCTATCACCAAAGCAGCCAGACAGGACACAGAGAATGAAAAGCACAATGTCAGCTTTTTGAACAAGGAGCTGCACATTTTCATTTTGCACTGAACCTCACAAATCATTGCCCTTACTTGGCAATCCCAAATCGGTGTTAATTTTATATTCTTAACCAACTACAATGTGTTGGGTCTGATTTTATTAACCATGTTATTTGGTTTCAAGAACTCTTAATACTAAGCATAAAATCAGATGGCTTTTATGATTCCTCTAAATTATTCTTCCTAGAAGATCACATTAGCAACAGAAAGGTTGGCTCTCATGTGTATTGGGAACTTAATTCAAGGAATACAAAAGTAGGGGGTATGTTTTTACTGAGGCAGACAGTTGCGGGGGATATCACTTAATTCTTCAAAGTGAAAAGATTGTCCCTCTGTATTTTCTATTGCATCAGGGTAAGAGAAAGAAAGAAAGAAAGAAAGAAAGAAAGAAAGAAAGAAAGAAAGAAAGAAAGAAAGAAAGAAAGAAAGAAAGAAAAACACACCTTGTTCTTATTTAATTGTACATGTATGTCTGTGTGTCTGTCGGTCAGTCTATCTGTGTGCTCTTGTGGAGGCCAGAGAACAACTCAGGTGTCACCCTCAGGAGTACCATCCATCTCTTTTGAGACAACATCTCTCAATGGCAGGTAGCTCACCCATGGGGCTGGCCGGTCAGCAAACTTCGGGGATCCTCCCATTTCCTGGACTACCATGCCTGACATTTTCCCATGGGATTTAGGGGTCCAACCTAGGTCCCCATGTCTGCAAAGCTGGCACTCGACCAGCTGAACTGTTTTTCCAGCTCTTGTTATCTCTTTGCTATGCCAGTGTTGACCCATAACAACAGAAGTTGCTTTTTCCATCACCTGTCAGCATCATCATCAAATGGCCAAAGCCAGGCCCCGCAGTGGGGTCCAGAGGAAGGTGAGCACGGGCATCCTCCTCCTGTGTAGGGTTGCCTTTGCTTCACGTCTGAGGCTCTTACCTTAAGCTTGGCCAGGAGAAGCTCATGATCATGAAGCAGTTTCTTGGTTTCATCTTGACTGCTCCCAATTTCTAGAAGATTGGGCTGGGATTCAGCCACTTGGAGCTGTACCCACTTGCCACACTAAAAATAAAATGAGTGAAATGAACTTTTATTCTCTCTCACCATTCTCCTCCCCCCCCCCACTTTTTTATTTTAATTTCCAGTTATACTAAGAACTCTCTCCTCCCAAAGAGATGGCCTAACATGTTGAAACACAATGGGTCTAATACAAACCCATTCTTTTATTCTTAGAACAAATTCTCTCATGGAGTGTAGGTGTTTGGATTTTTTAAACTCTCCAATGAGAAACGTGTGCATTAGATGATGTGTTCCTCACCATCTCTAAGTCACTGAATAGATTTGTACAGCTGTACCCTCACAAAACCACTCTGGACAATTAGTGATGCTTCACACAGGTAAAGGGGGATGGGAACTTCACTACAGACCAGAACCCAGCCTTACTCCTCCATCAACACAGGCTTTGCTCTCTGAAGAGGTTGAAGTACGTTTCATTTGGAGATGGCAGTAAGGTAAGGGAGCTGGAGAGAGGACCACGAGAGGCCATTCTGAGAAACACAATCCAGTTAAAAAGACTTCCCCACATAGTTTTAAGGTCTGTATGTTCTTTGTACCTCTTACTATCCTATAAGTTATTCCCTAAGCTCTGTGACTTTTACTCACAGAGTACCTTAAGTTTGAGGAAAAGTGAGGTTGACATTTTTTTTAATGTCATACATTTGCCTCCTGTCCCTCCCTCCTGGCACCGGCCAATTGCCCAAAGCATCACTATATCGTGTCCAATCAATCAGTTTTCATTGGTGCAGCTTCGATGCCTGGGCACTCCCATACACACCTCTGCAGAGGAGAGGGTGGGGAGACGCTGAGGTCCTGTTTTTTATGCAGGAGGCTCCCAGCACTGGGAACTTGGCCTTGAGCAGAACTCTGCATTCCATTGCTCAATGTCAAGTTCTGCTTTCCTCCTACAACTTTTCATACTACTATAAAATTTGCAGCAATTAAATTAAACAGCCCTTGTTGCCAGCTCACCCCCCCCCCCTTTGGCCGGGTTTGCATTCATTAAACATGAGTTCTTTAGGTGGCAAATCATCTAAAGAGCAAGCATGTATTTCAGAGGATCTTGCACGATTTCAGGCGAAGGGGACAAAATCACCGGAGTCTTCCACAACCCAAAGATGTGTGGACATCTTTGCAAACAGCTAGACATAAAACATACAGGTAAGCCCCAAGTGGTTGCACTTTTCTGTTCTCCAGAGCCAGTTGGCACACAGTCTGTGGCAGGGTCTCCATCACGCTGTAGTGGGAGAAGTAGTTAGTGTTGCCTGTACCAGTGGAAACCAGTTCTGGGAGGTACTTGTGAGAGGCTTTTAGTGTTTCTAATTCTCAATCATGATCAAGACAGTGCCCCCCCCCCCAACCTGTGCCTTCATCACGTCCACTCAAAAATCACAGGCACTGCCCTGGCCCACCGGACTCCTCACCTGACATTCCAGAACCTCTGTCACATGAGCCTTGCCTTTAAGGACCAAACTGAAAGTACATAGCCAAGTTTGTTTTAAGTTGTAGGTGCTTTGTAAGCTGAAAAGCAAGCTGGCAACTTGTTGAAACACAGCAGTCCTCTGTCACTGACTTAAGTGATTAAGATCACTTACTATTTATCATCTGTTCTGTGCCGTGTCCTGTAAACGTGTGCATTATCCTCTAGGACTCCCAGCACACCACAAAGAGCCACCCCCCCACCCTCACCCCCTCAGCCACACAGAGAAAAGAAAGCTGTGAGCTTACCTTGACAACGGCTATCACGATTTTGGAGTTCCCAGCTTGCACAGCTACAGAGCTGATGGTGGTGGTGGAAACACCCACTCGGGGACTTTCTTTGCAGGACATGGCACTTTAGAAGGAGGGTTTAAGCCTGGGGCAACCTTGGTAGGGATGTGTGTCGGCTGGTCATGTCAGAAGGCATCCACGGGGCTACCAGCACTCATTCAGGGAACGCTCTCTGCTCACACTGATTATCCGGCCAAAAGGAAAGAACAGGAAGTTAAAAATAGACAGCCCCATTGAGCTTATCGAGAGGGAGGGGGAGGAGAAAGAGAGGAGAGAGAGGGAAAGACAGGGAGAGAGAGAGGGAGAGAGAGAGAGAGAGAGAGAGAGAGAGAGAGAGAGAGAGAGAGAGAGAGAGGAGCCAGCCACACCCCTAGTATGGTAACAGTAAGTGCCTGTTATTTTTGCCATTATCTGAAACTCGAGGGACAGCCTTGAGCTCTTTGCCTATCAGCTGATGTCGATAGCTAATGGAAAAAAAAGTTACATCCTGACAACCCAAATTAGTTTGGCCATTGAAACTAAACAGTTGTAACTGTGGACTTTGAAACCAGAAAGTCACTGACCTGGATATCAATCTTTTCAAGTCTTCTTTATACAAAGAAAACTACCCCCAAAATGACCGTTTTTGTTTCGGGGGACGGGGGGTGTTCAGTCACAAAGTTGATCAGAATATTTTTAGATTAATCTGTTTTTCTAAAACTTAATGGCCTTTCCCAGATGAAGCCCAAGGAATGGTCACATTTTCTCCGAACTTCCTAGGAGTATTTTAAAAACATTTCACCTAACATTTATCAACAAAGGCACATCTTCCCAAGATTGCTTCATGGTGGTTTTCTGAGCAGCATTTTCAAACTCAGCCTGCTAACACCTGTTAGAAAGCGCAGTACTTTGTTGTTACTTTTAACTGTAGCAAGAGATGTGTTTTTGTTTGTTTGAAGGTGAACACTTTGTTACTTTTTTTTTTTTTTTAATCCCCATTTCTACCTGGAGCAAAAAAAAAAAAAAAAAAAATTGCAACCAGCTTCAAATCAGAGTCAGGCTCACAGATTAATCCTTCTGCTAGAAGCTCTGCCCGTGTCAGAAGTTGTCTCTGGTATTAAGCAGCAGCTGTTGGATCCCTGTCAAAAAAACAGCTGAAAATAACACTGACGTTTAGGTCAAAGGTCAGAGGCACACACATCAGAGACACTAACTCCAGAGCTGCTCCACCACTGGAGATCTCTGGGATGAAAGGCAGAATGGAGGACAGAGCCATAAACAGAGGCGGAGGAAGTCTCTCCCTGTGGAAACCCCTGCAGCTCTGTGTTAAAGCATGTTAGACACCGGGCTGATGCTCAGAGGTCTGAATAAACGCCATTGCTTTTTTTTGCTAAGGTTTATGAAAATGTTCTTGAGCTGACATGTGTGGGACTGTGCACACATGTGTACGGGGATCACTGCTCGTTTCAAGAGCAGGCCATGGCTGGGATGCAAACTGTTCGCCCTTGACCCTGGGCGTCTGCTGTCAGCATCTGCCTGGGGTTCTAAGGAAATGGGAAACACACCAACCTCCCAGTTCCTAGACCGAACAAGCTTCACCTGACGCCGTGAACGGAGCAGCAGGAGCGAGCTCTGGACAGCAGATGGAAGATACTTGACAGTGCGGGACATATTCACAGTCGTTTCCTTTTGTGACAGGGCTGAGGAGCTTGTGGAGAAAAAAAACCACTTTGGAATATTCAAGAGAGTTTCTTCCACTGAACCAGTATGTAACTGGTCCGTACAAACCAAACCAATTCAATTGCAACCAGCTTTCAGCCCTATCAACCAAGAGCCAGAATGCCCACATCCTAAACTAAGTGCACAGTGGGTATTGCTTAACTCCTTATCCATCTTGCCGGAACCAGGAGGGCAAACACCAACCTGCATGCAAACAGCATACTTTCACCCTAAGTTAACCCCGGGGCTGGAAACTGCACGGCTCACAAGTTGCACAAAGGCCCTCAAGAGTGGAAGGGAATTTGGGGCAACAGGCTACAAGGACCACAGACTAAATTAGCTGCTCCATTCACAAAGCTTCACTTAGGACGGAAGACTGTGTTAAGGGTACGGAGGACAGCACAGGACTTTGGAAAATGGCAGTCAGTTAGACAGAAAGCAGGGAGAGCTGGAAGGAAGAGGACACGGCCAAAAGGCTAGTTAAATCCAAGGTTTAAGGGCAAGGGGAATTAGAAATAGGACTTTGTTAAAAGATTAATCCAGCTACTCAGCAACGTACTTTGTGTGTGGATGACCTTTTTCTTAATTAGATGGAACAGGTCCAGGGTATTACATGAAAAAAAAAAAAAAGTCCTCTTGCTTTGGTGGACATGAACATTAAGTTGAATTGCATGCATACATGCATTACTAATTTTTACTCAAATCCTTGGCTTTAAAACTTGCAAAAGAGCTAGGCAGTGGTGGTCCATGCCTTTAATCCCAACATTCCAGAGGCAGAAGCAGGTGGATCTCTGAATTTGAGACCAGCTTGGTCTACAGAGCAAGTTAGCAAGTTCTAGGATGGCTAGGGCTACACAGAGAAACCCTATCTTGGAAAAACAAACAGACAAACAAAAACAAATAAACAAAATCTTGCAAAAGACTTGAATCAATATTGTTTTCCCTTTTTGCTTTCTTTCCACCCCATCCCTGCAGAAACTTAGTAGTCCTCTCCATAGAAACCACATTCTCAGACCATACCGTCAACGTCTGCTTTCCGCAAAAGCTTACTGTAGTTTTCATCTAGAATAATGCTTAGTTAATAGCCTGCCATTAACTCCAGCACATATTTGGAGAATAGTTAGTAAGAAATACACTGGGCTAAAGAAATTGCTACACTACGCTCAGGTGGGTTTTATTCATATTAAAGTGGTAAAAGCCTTTGAGTTACAGTTTATTTATACTTCCCATCCTCACCAGAAAAAAAAAAAAACAACAAAAGACAAAACAAAACAAAAAAAAACAAAAACAAAAAGCCAAAACCAAAGCAGAACCTCACAGGCATTCTCCTGCCTTTGAAGTTTATAAGCGCCTAGCAGAAGTTACTGCACCTTCTCTGTTCACCCCTCTGGGAAATGGCTGTTTTTATATAAACTGAATTTCAGTGAAATGTCCTCTACAGGGAATCATAAAGCTATGGTTGAATTTGATAGAGTTTCAAATGGCAGGCTCTTAAAGAAATAGAAGGAGCTGGCATTTGAAAAGCTTCCCATGCGGTTGTTTCAGCTCTATCTAGGGGCGTGCTGTGCAAACCCTCCTTCTTTCCTGCACACACACACACACACACACACACACACACACACACGCACACACACAGACACGCACACACGCACACACGCACGCACACACGCACACACACACACACACACAAAGTGCAAAACCTCCTCCTTTCCTGCACACACACAGACACACACACACACACAGAGTGCAAACCCTCCTTCTTCCCTGCACACACACACACACACACACACACACACACACACACACAGTGCAAACCCTCCTCCTTTCCTGCACACACACAAAGAGTGCAAACTCTGCTTCTTTCCTGTGCACACACACACAAAGAGCACAAACCCTCCTTTCCTGCACACACACAAAGGGTGACCCCTTTTTCTTCCACATGCACTTCCAGGAGTTTGGCTTGGTACTATTGTTGGCTTTACGAAGACAAATTTCATAGACCCCCCCCAAAAAAAAAAATCCAGAATGGGTCTATGATGGTCCTGCCATTTGTAGCCTCCTCATTGGCAACTTATTCTTCCATACATGTGCTCGTTCATGTCTTCATTCAACATGGAGGACTCAATAAATGTCTATTAGTAGCAAACACTATTTTAGATATTAGGCATAGCAAAAGCAGGACAAGATTAATCCAAGATGGAGTTTGCCCTCTGGTGGGGGGTGGAGACATAACCAATTATATGCCAAACATGCAAACAGAATAGCTAGATGACAAATAGATGGACGGACAGATAGAGGACAGACAGACAGAGCAGCATCATGTAAGGAGAACTACAAAGGAACACACAGGGGCAAGAAAGAGTAGACAGGGAAAGTCAAGGTCTAATGGTGAGAGTTGAACAGAGACTTGGCTTAAAGAAAAGAACAAGGCATGCAACTATCTCAGGGAAAGAATATTCTAGGCAGCTGGGGCACGCCTTTATTCTTGAAAAGCCTCCAATAGGTTGCTGAGCTAAGTGAGGACAGAGAAGGAGACAGAACGTGAGAAGAGGCTGGCTGGTTCTCACAGGCCCTCTGTGTAAGCCACTGGGTCCTGGCTTGCTGGGATGACTCTGGTTTACACCTGTTCTGCCATAATTACTCTTCCGGCTGCTTTCATGATCAAAAGAGTCCATTTGGATGATAAATTATGTGCTAACCCTACTGGCTAGCCACTAGTAAAGATTTGGGTTTGATTCTGAGATGGGAAATTATTACAGAGCTCTCATCCAAAGAATGGCATCACTTCGATTTACTGTTGGGTTAGAAACTCCGTGGAAAGGAGACTGTCGGATTAAGGATGAAAGAGGGAGGTCCGATGGCCATCACACCACCTGGTGCATAACAGGCCACCCAAGAGAGTGCTGGAATGCTTCTTTTTGAACACCTAAGCCATACTGAAAAGAAAGAGGTGTCCAAAAAGATAAGGACTTCTAATGGCAATTTCATTCTCTCTGTGATTTGAACTAAGTAGATTTCCTTACAACTAATGAATGACATGAGATCAGGAAGGATAATTAAAGACAAGCAACTTTCATATCCAATGCCTTTCCCACCCATAAGTGACAAGAAAAGCAAAACAAAGTTTGGGCAAGTTTAAAGAATGCTTAAGTTGGTGAGGAGACCCAGGTGGAACAAGGATTTCTCCCTGATTGGCGTGTGCAGTGCAACTCACACCTCTCCAATATTACACGCGTACACACGTACAGTTCTTCTCGAAAAGTCTCTCGTGCATCAACATAATGTAGAAAAGTTCAAAAGTGAGCAACATTAAAATGAACAAAAAAAACTTAAGGATCTTGTTGATATGAGCAAAATCCTTTCTGAACGAGAGAAACATTTACAATACATCAAGCCAGAAAAAAAAAATAAAGTATTCAAAAATCACCCAAAAGCTGTCCCTGCACAAACTTGGGCTCTAGACCTTGAAGGCACGTCACTTCCCACCTGCCCTGCCCTACATCCTCAGCATCCAGCATAGCTGACTTCTCTCTGATTCCTCTTCCTATGAGGAAATGTGTGGAGGTCTCCGGAAGATGGCGATTTAAATCAAAAACTAGAGCTCCTGTGAACTGCTGAACTTGGTTTTGGAAAGCTGTGTTTCTTTTGTTTTTCCTTACTGTTGTTAAACTCCAGTTGAGGCTGAGATTTTCCATCTCAA